GTTCACTTTACTCCCTCCGCAACGCCACCGTGATTCCGCCAGATAAAATCATGGTGATACTGAAATGCTATATCGAGCAGGCAGAATAATCAGCTTGTAGGGTTGAACCCTAATTAAACCACAATTCATCGTTATCCGAATAATTGAGAGACATCATAGAAAGTTGGATCGTAATGAATCTATCATAAGGTAGGTAGAAAATAGAAAATACACGGTGAATTAACAAAGCTCCTGCGTACCAAGTCCATCCACCCTCACCACAAGTTACGACCGAAGTTTGCGCATCTCGTGAAGCTGGCGATCGAGGCTCATGAAAGCGGTCTCAAAGTGGAGTGCATAAGAAGAAAACGAGGAGGTAAAAAGTCCCTTGGAATATCGGCGCCGCCTGACCCACTTGAACGTACTCGGGTTTATCCACTATGGAGTAATGTCAGTTCGGAAGTCTGCACTTAAGAGATTACTTACTGAGTAATTTATCAGTAGTGGCGGATCCTGCAAACCAGACGAGCAGGTAGATCATCTCGGCGTACTTCGTGAATCGGAGCGAGAGCTTCTCGTATCCGGTCACAAGTTGCACGAGGCCCTTCTTCAACGGCGACAGCACATTACGAACGCTCTGAATCCTTCGATCACAGATCGGATTGCGAAAATGAATTTCGGCTGACTTTTGAGTTTGGACGACGCCGGTACAGTTCTTGGTCAGACTTCCAGCATCACCAACGATTTTATTGCCGAGACTTTGCGTATCTTCTTGGACATTGAGCAGTACTGTGCAGCCTGATGGACAGTATCAAACCCGGCGTGGATGTTCTCGGCATGGTGTTCAATACGCAGTTCCTGACACAGGGAGTCAGTATTCGTAGCATATTATCGAAAGGGTGTAGGACGGCCGACTCACCTCGGGGCCGGTTGTTATCCCATCCCGTGGATCTTTCGTTTGTTGAATTGCAGGCGTCGGCGAGAGTTTCCGGTCTGCTCCCTCCCAAAATTCCTTGGATTCCTTCAGAGTCTCCCCGATTTTGGCAAGGCCTCGGTCAATCTTCTCCAATTCGTCATAAATCTGTTGGATTTCCGCCGCCGAGGCCATATCCTTCTCGTAAACTTCCTTCCTCGGTTGCTCAAGTTAGTATCATAAAGTATTTGGGTCAGTGTGGACGTACGGTTGGCGCCCAGTCTATAATAGGCGTCGCATGAGTTGAGCACAGGAAACCGAACTTCCCAAGCGGCGTTCCACTTTTCAAGAACGTCTCTCAAGTATTCCACGAGCGATGGACATCGATTTCTGTTTGGGGGGCGGCATGAGCGTCCTGGAAAAACGTGGCTTCTTTGCTTTGCACTTGTTGAACCTGCAGGTGTGTGGGCTGTCCGACAAATTCCAGCAGCAACTGACAGTCATGCTGGAGAACGTCCTCCCACAATATCCCCTGCAATATGACGCGGTGCAACCGGTCGCACGGGCAATCTCTCAAGCGGAACACCTCATAAACACTGAGTTCCAGTTATCGAACTTCTCCACTGTGTGGGGACGATTCCTAGACTTAATTTCCGCCCGGCTCAAGGCCCTCCACAATACTCGGGAAGCGGCGCGACTGAAGGCCTGCGATAACTTCGATGTGAGACTTCGGATTTCATCCTTGAATTCAAGGTTACTGAACAGTTGCTGGACGTAATATTTAGTGCGGTAGAGTCGATGATAGAGCCATGTTCAAGCGCTGTTCCGGCTGTCTATCCTTTTATTATTGTTCCCCAGATTGTCAGGAACATGACTGGACCGCGGGGAACCATCGCAAGTATTGCGGATCTCACCCATCGATTCGGCTCAGTGAGTTTTTCCTCCTGGATCTCAACCAGGTCCTGACCAGGATCATACTAGGCGCACGTTCAGAGTTCTCCGTCCGCGAACGATGCTTCTTGTTACTAATGGTGATGCACGACTTCCACCGCGCGACCTTCAAGTATAATGGTGATACCATCGAGACCAAACAGGCCGAATTCACGGCTTGCAACCCCGGTGCACCATTCATAACCGTGTTCGATTATACGGCCGGTTCTGCTGTCGAAATTCGCATCGAGGATGTCGGACAAGATGCGTCGAAGTACTTCCATGGAGAATATCTGGAGCAATGGTCCGACCATGTCTCGCGCGCGGGTCAGTCCGGTGGGCGGATGGGATTGTTTGTAATGGCGGTTCCCGCAGGCACACAGACTCGATATTTCGACATTCCGCATCGTGGAGAGACGTTGGACTCGTACCTGGGTGCCGACCACAAAGATTTTAAGCTCGTTTCTCGCGAGACTGTTGAACAAGCATTGAAGAAGCTGGATGACATATGCGCTGAGTATGGTTTCCCTGGTCGACAATGTCGGGTAGCTGAATGAAATTTTTTGTACCGATTTTAATTAAAAGTTCAAGCTGAACCGTATCCTTTGCACCAAAAGAATCGAATCGCCAAACAGCTTAGATAGCCGGGACCACGGCCACTCGACGTAGGGCTATTTCTGCCGCCTCTTGCACTCATTCCAATGCAGGTGTGAGGATGCACGTTGGATATTTGCAATTTGCCGACCATTTGAGGTTCCAAGGACCTCCCACATCAGCGCATAGATCTAGAACTACTTACGTTAAACCATGAGAGAGAGGGGAAATTAACAATCGGGTCACAAAACAGTCAAATGGTGACAATCGTGTTCTGTTCGGCTTCTAAATTAGACTGGCTACATTCATGTGGCCATGAACCCACGACAAGTGAAGTCGCAGCGGTAATGATAGCAATGTTTGACCCTGGAAGCGCTAGGGAGTATGACGTTTTGGTGGCAATATTAATTGAGGTCTGCCATTCAATGCAATGTTCAAGGGATGGCCCGCAAACTTGAAGGAACTACCCTAATAAGCACAAAAGAACCAGCGGACTAGGAAAGTGGTCAAAGGACGTACTAGAGAGGCCAGCGCGAAGGTCGAGACTACTTAATAGATCGTGTCCTGTGAACAGAATAACCGTTCAGCAGCCCTGGATTAGCAGGGTTGGGAGATCGAACTCCAGTACTGCTGAAGCACCGAAGTGCAGTGAAATGCGGAGTTTGCGAATGAGAATGAGACGAAACTGTCTAAGATCTCATTAGCAAGTATGAATCAGATACGCTGGAAGCTCTCCCTTACCGGATTGGGGGAAACCCCTCAACTTGGATTCCTTCGGAGGTTCGAGTGAGAAGTTTGGCGTCCAAGTTATTGTAGTGAAATTGAAAACGCCGGTGGACAAATGAATTGAGATTCGTGAATGCACAAGTGAATATATAATACTTACCGACTGGTTCGGTTGGCTAACTTCCTGGATTTATTAAATGGGCTGAGGCTGGATATACAGGGAGAGATTCGGGGAGAAGTGCATCTTAGAATAAATGAAATTGCTAACAGCGCACCTCACATTCAACGCACAGATAAAAGTTTGCGGAAGGACCTCGCTTGCGGGCTACCAAGGAAAGTCAAAACTAAGGGACGAGGAAGTGACCAACAGAGGAAAACCACCGGCAGCCATGAGTTAATCTAGGTAAATCTGGAATGAATCTGCTCTGCAGACATATTGACGGCGGGGTCCAATATCGGGGGTTTGATGCTCATTGGAAACTGAGTCCAGTAGTATCTGCTCGCACAGTACATAGGTAGAATTCATCAGGCATGCAGTGGATCACATCCCTCATGTGTTCCAGGAAGACCCAGTGGTGAGCGGTATGACACCCGCAGATGTTGTATAGGCCACCACATCAAGTTTGCGCAAGGATTTTGGTTCGAATCCAGGCTGGGTCGTATTTCGGCGATGGCGAGAGTTTTTTCTTTTCTTTTGATTTCGCTCCGGGGCCCCGAGAGAAGTCATTCAATGTACAAGAGACACGGTAGGAGAAGACCCGATGGTGAAAGGTATCGCTCCTGCAACTCCTACTTGGAATCCGAACTGCTTGGGTGGGAATTCCTGGTTTCAAATCGAATCGATGAAGTTCTTGGTGAAGGCTTAAAATAACTGAACTAAGACGAGGACAAAGACACAATAGGAGAAGACCCGGTGGTGAAAGATATTACGCCCGCAGCCCGTAATGACCACAGTTTGTGTGGGGGTTCCTGGTTTGAATTCGATCCGCTGTAGTTCTTGGTGAAAGCTTTTTGCTTCCTTTGAAATAAATTGCCCATAAAAATGGGTGGACTAGAGAGCTAGAGTGACGGAAGGTATCGCACCCGCAGCCCGTCATAAACTAACCTTGCGTTTGCGGGGGTTCCTGGTTCCAGTCCAGGGTGAGTCGTATTTGTTGCGTTCGATTTTCCTTTTTCCTCCCTCTGAAAAAGGTAGCAACTAGCACGTATATAAGGACTGCGAAGGGCAGGAACAGACCCGGTGAAGAACCCGCAGACGTAATAAATTACCCTTGCGTGTGCGGGGGTTCCTGGTTCGAATCCAGGCTGGGCTGTAGTTCTTGGTGAAGACTTTTTGTTGCCTGTGAAAATAACTGAATTGAGTTGGGTATGAATATGGGTTAAAGAACAAGCTGCGTAAGATCCAGTGGTGAAATGAAGCACACCTGTCGTGTCAAAATAACAGCAAAAAAAATGTGTGCTGACGGGGTTGCTGGAATTTTTTCAAAAGGAAATCAGCTAGCACATAAAGGAGAGCGAAAGAGAAGAGGGCATTGCACCCGAAACTCGTGGCCAGAGTCGAAAGTGTGCTGGCGGGAGCTCCAGGTCGGGTCGTAAGCCCTTTCCAAGAATTTCTTTTTTGCTCTCACCTCCTGAGGAATATAATCCAACATACAACATGAGGACAGATGACACATGCCAGGAGATGAGCCAGTGGTTAAAGGCATCGCGCCCGTTGCCCGTAGTAATTCCGGCATGATGATGCGGGAGTTCCTGGTTCGAGTCCACGTGGGTCATGTTTTCGTTTCCGAGATCTTTTTGCGCCCTGTGGAAACAACTGAGTAGCGTATAAAGATGGGTTAGCGAAAGGGCTAGAGAAGACCCAGTGGTGAAATGAAGCACAACTGCAACTCTTGGATAAGAGCAGAAATGCCATGTGCTGGCGGAGGTTCCTGGTTCGAATCCAGGCTGGGTCATAGGTCGCCAAGCTCGATCCTTTTCTCCCTCCCTTACAAAATATAAAGCACCGAGCACGCAAATAAGGATAGCGAAGAGCGGGAACAGACCCGGTGGTGAAATGAGGGAACAGAGTTTGTCGGAGAAGACCCAGTGGTGAAAGGAATGGCATCGGCTGCCAATACTAATCCAATCGACAGATGATCTGGTGCGGGAGTTCCTGGTTCGGATCCAGGCTGGGTCATGTAGATAGTCTTTGCCAAATTCTTTTTGCTTCCTTTCAAATAACTGAATTGTGTTGCCTATAAAGATGGGTCAATGAAGGTGCAAGAGAAGACTTGGTGGTGAAGTGAATCACACCCGCAGCCCATGTAAGTTTCATGGTCGAGTGTACGTTATGCGCGGGAAGTCCTGGTTCGAATCCAAGCTAGGTCTTTAGCGACAGTTAATGAATGGGCAGGAGAAGACACGGTGGTAAAAGATATCGCACCCGCACATGTTGTATGACTATCAGTCAAGTTTGCGCGGGGATTTCTGGTTCGAATCCAGGCTGGGTCATATGTGCTTTGCCAGCACCTTTTTCTCGATGTGGAATAACTGAGTTGAGTTGGGTATGAAGATGGGCTAACAAAAGGGTTGGATAAGATCTGGTGGTGAAATGAATCGAGCTTGCTTGCGCGGGGTTTCCTGGTTCGATTCCAGGCTGGGTCATATCTTCTTCAAGGCTTTTTTTGTTTTTACCTAGCCATTCGAAAAAGATTATAGAAGGGACATGGTAGGAGAAGACCCGGCGGTGAAACGAATCATATCCGCTCACAATATTGGTCAATCCAAACTTGTGCGGGAGTTCCTGGTTCGAATCCAGGCTAGGCCGTGTAGGTAGTCTTCGGCAAATTATTTTTGCTTTCTTTGAAATAACTAAATTGAGTTGTATATAGAGATGGGTTGATGAATAGGCTGGAAAGGACCTGGTGGCCGTAGCTACAGCCTATGAGGTCGAAGCATGTGCCGGTGGGAGTTCGTGGTTGAATCCCGGTTGGGTCGTCCGCTCTTTCCAACTTGACTTCTTTTCCTCTCGAAAATATGCGACGTACAGGATGAGGCCATAGACAGGGTAGGAAAAGGCCGGTGGCGAAGGGTATCACACCCTCAGCCCGTAATATAATTGACGATGACTTATTCGTGCGGTGGCGGGACACTCCTCCTCAATACAGAGGCCTTGGTCTCCCCGCCCTTGTAGCCCTGGCTTCGCCAGGACTACAAGGGCGGGATCGACCAGGTTCCTGGTTCGAGTCCAGGCTGGGTCATCATTCTTCGCGACAAGTTTTTGCTCTCTGTGGAAGTGAATTGAGTGCATATAAAGATGGGTTAACGACAGCGCCAGAGAAGACCTGGTGGTAAAATACACCGCACACGCAGCCCGTAGTAAACTAACCTTGCGTGTGCGGGGTTTCTGGTTCGAGCCCAGGCTGGGTCGTAACTTTGCCCTTCCAAGTTTTTTTCTTTCGTTCTTTTTCTTTTGCTCTCACCCCTCGGCGAAAAATCATCCACGGTAGCAACAGGGTATTAGAAGACCCGGTGGTGTAATGAAGCACACCTGCAACTCGTGGATAAGAGCAACAGTGCCATGTGCTGGCGGGAATTTCTGGTTCGAATCCAGGCTTTATTGCTGAAGTTTTTGTTTCCCTTCTTCTTGAAATGATGCCATGAGGGAGAGAGATCTTTTTGGAAAGAGACCCGGTGGTGAAAGGTATCGCTCCTGCAACTGCTACTTGGAGGAGGCACTGTTTATGCGGAGGTCCCTGGTTCGAGTCCAGGCTGGGTCATAAAAGCCTCTTCTTTTCGGAGCTTTTCTTTGGGAGAGGGAGTGGGTTTCTTTCTCGAGTCTAGGAAGCACTCTGTTTTTTAGACTAATTATGATACTACTCTGGGAGATATATGTACTAATAAGTTACTAACACTAACACGCCACCTCCCGACTACAAAATCAAAACTCCAGTCGACCAGAGTCTTGGTAGCTATAGCATAAATCAGGCTCAACTCACGATATTGAACAGACCTAATGGCGAATGGATCGCTCCTACCTCGTATAACTTTTCTTGCAGAGCTCCGAGCTGAAATGTGGGAATCCTGGTTCGAATCCAGGTTAGGTCGTTGTACTTGACAAGTGCATCTTTTTGTTTTCATTTTTTGTTATGAATGGGCCTTCATTATTTTCTCGGGGGTTGCGCATGCGCGCACCGGACAACCCATCGCTGCAGCATTCCTTTTTTTTGACCATCAGCAAGCATCGCGGGAGCAAACGGCAACGTGTAAAGACGCCGCGTGGCTGTGCCTCGTGTCGTTTAGCCGAACAACCTGTCTTTCGCTTCCTCCTTGCTTCCTCCTCCCATCGATACGAGCTTGTTTGAAGCATTCGTTCGAGGTGAATTGGTGAGTCCTCGCCCTACGTGTAGGCTGATTACAACGGTATTAACGCGTTCTGATCCAGGGACCACCCAAGTTTCGACGTGGACTTTTAATCTCAGGTATCTATCACAAGGGCTGAACATTTGGTTTCGTGAGTTAGATGATCACGATGTTGTGGAGTGGGATTTAAAGTCGACATATGTCTAGGCCTAGAGTGATTTCGATTCAGAAACGCATCCTGGGACGAAATTGACTTGAATCTATTCCAAGACTCCGGCGTATAGCTGGCTATATGCGTACGTCCATTCTATTCCCTCGGTATGCCTTCTATAGTCCATCGGTGGCAGAACGGATGGATGGACAATCTAAATTAACTGATATGGATATCTTAGGTTGCTCTATCTGACTATCACCCAAATAACGCGTTGAACACCTGAACAGCCTGTGTACGACGTCGAGTCTACGTCGCGGCTTCTGTGATAGCCATCCAGCGTCTTAGCCTGTCTTAGCAATACTTGGCTAGACGGCCTGCTATTACCCCCGGTCGAGTCTCGAGGCTCAGGCTGAAGAGCTGCTTGGACCTCATAAAGTAATACCGCCCCGTTGCCGCGCCGCATCGTCAGCACGGACACGCGCCGATCCGACTCGAAAGACCAATCAAATCGCTTGATGCTTAATTGAATTTCTAAATTTTTGGCGTGTCTGGTCGTCAAGGCGATCCCTGCGTGCTCCGCAAAGATTTCATAATCTGCTCTTGGTTTTTCTCACCCAAACTTATCCTTTCTCGCACTCCGCCTTTCCCTCCGTCCCCTAATCGTAGGATTGCCCCAATTCCCCGCATCGCGAAGGCAAGGGGACGCCACGACGCGCAGCGCGACGAGATACGTGGAATTCCATCGCACGCGCACGCGCGTGTGTTTCTTTGGGATTTGGTGGGAACGCTTAGCGTTCACACGACTGAACAGAGGGAGGAGAGATGCTCAGGCGCCAGCGCTCGATCGTCGCGCTCCTCTCCGGCTCTGGGTCCTCGTCCGCGACAGTGAACTCGCCGGAGAAAGACGATGCGGTGCCGCCGCTTCCTGCTAAAGCCAGCGTGTATTCTGCTCCGGCGAAGACTATGAATGGACACGGCGCGAATGGGGTTGGTGGGCATGCGAATGACGCGAGCGCGAGCCCGGTGAAGGGACTCGTGCGGCGCGTGTCAAATATGTTTCGCTCGAGCGGGAATGGGAAGAACGGTGCGTCTTGTTTCGTATTCATTCAGTCCTCGCCCCTTCGTTCCTCCGCCTACGTATTTGTTCCCTCTCGTTTTGTTTTCAATCCTTCATCCCCATCCTACCATTTATGCTTTCGATCACACTCCTATTTCCTTCATACACGACGGCATGACATGTGTCGGCATCCTCTTATGCCGCTACCTTCCTGCATCCCATCTTCCGTCCCCCCTCCGCTCCTGCACGATGTGCATTTCAGGGCGCACTGCCTCTTGCCTATTTTCGCGCACCGCTCTCTCCGTGCATTCTACTTGCCTTTCTATTGCACGACGCACATCCACTACACCCCTACACACTACCCTCGTCTTTCATCACCCTTCTCATCTCCTCCTCATCCCCACCCCTCCGAATCTAGAACCCATCCTGACAATTCCAAATCACAGGCACCCCCGCCCCCTCGCGCTACCTCGCCCGCGCCGCCGCCTCCACACCGGACATCCGCACCACTGCCGCAGCGCCCGCGAGCCCCACGATTTGGGGCGGCGGCGCGAAGCTCGTCAAGCGGCCGAGCATAAGGCATACTGATAAGAATGCGATCGCGAAGCCGCTGCCGGTCGACAAGAACGCGAAGGATAAGGACGGCGATAAGAGCGCCAAGGACGGCGACAAGAACGCGAAGGACGGCGACAAGAAGGACAAGGAGGAGGCCAAGGGTTGGATGGGCACCGCCAAATCCGCCATATCGAGCAAGTCCGCAAAGTCGGCAAAGTCCAAGTCCGGCACCGTCTCCTCCTCCAAGTCGTCGAAGAAGTCCGGGCGCGGGGGCGTCTCGTCCACCAAGAGCGGCGGCATCGCGAACACGCCTCTGGCCTCTGCGGCTGCCTCGCGCGCCTCGAGCGTTTCGGCCTCCAGGGAAGGCGAGGATGGGGAGGGGGATGGAGAGGACGAGGACGACGACATCCGGCGCCCGTCTGGCCTCGGGCGCGCCGCCTCGCTCCGCTCGCTCGTTGACGAACACGGCGTCGTGGTGGCCCGTGCTACCGCGCCGTCGTTTTCCGCTGTCTTGGGCGGGAGCGGGAGCGGTGGTGGGGCCCCGTCCTCCTTCGTTTTACCGCCAAGACACCAACAACACCAAAACGGCCACGTACACGGGCAGACAGACTCCGCATACGCCTCAGCGAACTCCGACTCGGGCTCAGAGAGCGACAGCGAAGTGTCCGACGAGGACACAGAAGACGGGGACTCGGACTCGGATGAAGGGGAAGACGACATCCGCCGCCCCGAGGGTCTCGGCGCGCGGCGTCGCTACACTCCCTCCCCCAAGAAGACGTGCCGCTCATGAGCTGGGAGCGCAGCGCCTTCCCCTCCACCGCGACTTGCCCTCCTACCGGGCGAAGGCGACGGCGAAGGGCGTGCTGCGTCCCATGAGCGCGCGCGCAGCCTCTCGTCGCCCGCGTACGTCAAGCTCAGCGTCCTGCACTCTGTGCTGAACCTCCCCCCGCCTGTGGCGCCCGCCCGCGCCCATACGCTCCCTTCTGCCTCTACCGTTGCGTCCTCCTCGTCGGCAGCGCGCCTGCCCCCGGGCGTGTGGCAAATTGTGTTGGCGCATGTGGGGTTAGTGGATGCCGCGAGGGCCGCGCGGGTGAGCCGGGCGCTGTGCGAGGCGGGGAGGGGACGGATTTGGGGGTGCTTGATTTGCGCGGGGGTGGGGCGCCTCATCTGTACCATCGTGGTTCTGAGCCGGGGGCGAACGCGAATCTGCTTGCTGGGGAGGGTGTAGATGCAGCTGCAGATGTAAATGAAGCTGAGAAGGGCAGCGAGGGCGGAGGAGAGGAGAGCACGGGGAGGGAGAGAGGGAGGAGGGAAGCGCTTCTCTCCGCTCTGCGTGCGCCGCACGTCGCTGCGCGCGTGGAGGGGGTGGTGTGTGCGGGGTGGCCGCCTTGGGAGGGGACGAGGTATGTCTGCTTTCTTCGTTGTTTCTTTTTGCCGCGTTATCGCGTCATTGCGGTACTCTTTCGTCGCCTGCCTTTCTTTCTTTGCCCTGCTACCGTTAATTCTCTGTTGCTGCGATGGAAATCCTGCTTCTGCCTATTTCATTCCGGTTCTGGATGTACACTCTTCACTACTCCTGCCTTCCATTGTTTCCCAGGCTGCTGCGCGGCGTATTCCACCACTTCGTCGCGTGCCTTTCATTACATTCGTTTACATCCTCGTCCTTTATCATCCTCCCCCTCCTCGCTCGTCCTCCCGCATATAAGCTATCGTTCTCACTTCTTTCCGTTCTCTTCCTCCTCTCCACCTCCCTCATTCGCTGACCGTTTCCCTTCTGCACAGATCCACCTCCCCGCCCTCCGCAGTCTCACCATCTTCCCAGAAAGCACGCCCGCAACTGGATCTATAACGCCCAGGACGCCAACCACACCGACCACCCACCACCCTTCGCCTCCCGGCCTTTCCTCAGCACGCGGAGATCCCTCTCCCCTCTCCCAACGGCCCAGAGACGTCCACCCCGCCCTCCTGTCCTTCCTCCGTGCGCACCCACGCTCGAGCGCCTCGCGGTCGTGGCGGGGAGGACGACGCCTCGAGCCCCGGTGATGCTGCTGAGTCCGACGACCTCGACAAGGAGGACGAGGGGCAGAGCAGCGACGACGAGAAGAGCAGCAAGGAGCCCTTCCTCCCTCGCCTCACGCACCTGCACGCGCCGCCTGCGCTCGCGGTGCGTGTGCTTGAAAGGATCGCGCGGGCGGCGTTCGCCGCTGTGTGCCTCCTCCCGCTCCTAGCACTCTCACGCCGCTAACGCTTCGACTTCCTCTCTTTTTGCTTCGCCTGCTTTCGCCTCGACTCTCCCTGCCTTTCCCGCGTCCACCTCTGCGACCGCTCTCACTTCCGCCTCAGCAGAGCAGCTGGGTAATAACGCGGGCGCACACCAGGCAAACAGCTCTCCGCCGCGTCGCTCGCTTTGCTCGCACCTGACCCTAAGCGTATGACGACGCTGGGGATGCGGCTGCCCGGATGGCACCACCGCAAACAGGGTCATAACACCGAGGGGGAGGCGCAAACTGATGTGCTTTGCATGTGGACACGGCCCCGCAGAAGGAGAAACAGCACAAACCGCCACCATCCGCCTTCTCTGCGCCCCAGTCCCGGCACAGCGAGGAGGTCGGGGCAGACGACAAGGACGAGGACGAGCCCATAGAGAAGGTCGAGAAGGTCGAGCTCCGCCGCGTGGGGAGCGTCGGGCGCGCGGCGCGCGCGGTGTATGTGCGCGCACCGGCCGCACTTGTCAACGGCGCCGGGCGAGGTGGGGCAGCGAGCGTAAAGGCTCCGGTGTGGACGCCCGCACCCCCGCACCGGCACCCACTGCGTGTGCTGCGCCTTGTGGTCCCGCGGCCGCTGTACGAGGGCGCCACGGGCGTGGGTGGTGGGCGGGTTGGGCGCGCGGTGGGGGGTGTGCTTGCGCGTGGCGCCGGTACGTCGTCGGCCAAGGACATAACCTCGGCACAGGCGAAGGGCAAAGGAGAGGGCGAAAAG